AATTTCACATCTGCAAATAGTAAAATAAATTTAATTTTGGAAAATAAAGACAAATAATACTTTTTTTTGCGAAATGTGACGAAAAAATTTGTGTTCGTATTCGTCTTTTCAAAAATAGAGCAAAATACATTTTGAAAAAATAGAAAGTTGCATTAAATTTCGCACAGAACTTCTCTGCTGAACGGCTTGTGAAAATAATGTGCTTGCAACCAAGCTGCACAATGGGCACTTTTTTTTACCAAATAGCGAAGTTTCCAAAGCTGATGGCATGCATAGATTGCACTCGAAATCCAAAAACCTGAGAAGAAAATGCCGACATTTTAAAAGCTAATTGTATCTCTTGGATTGAGGAAGTAGAGGTTCAAGTGCATGAACCAGCAGAAACATCCATTAATACGAAAGAAAACAAAGCTGAGGTGAATGGAAACGCTATGATCTAGTTTAATCAGAGATTAGTTTGCAAGACTGGTTTATTTTTTATAAGAATCATAAGTTCGTTAATAGCAAATAACCATATACATATGTTACACATGTACCATCTATACATGTAATTTAAATACATCAAAGCATTTTTTGCGAACAAAAATACACAAAAGTTATCTTTATTAAAATATAATTTTATTTTCATTTATTAACCAAAAATAAAAGTAAAAATTAAGATCTCAAAAATTCGCTTAACTAAATTATATGGAAACTGTAAACAAATACCAGCTGTCGTGCTGTGTTGATGCAATCACAAACAAATTTATTTAAAAATTTTCACAATGATCAAACTTAACCAAAGAACGTATATTATAAAAAAAATATAAGTTGATAAAAACTGCTAATGAAAAAAAAATCGCATATGGTGGGTCTCGAACTCGGGCAATCATTTCCTTTTAACCTAATGTTATTATTTTTATCATTTTGAACACCTAAAAATACCAGATTTCGGAAAAATTTTTAAAGTTTTGAGCAAAAAAACTAAAAGGAAAAATAAGTATAACAAAAATTAATTATAAAAGGTTTTTCTACACGTATAAAATTGCCTCCATTAAGAAAAATTTTACACTTTTCGACCCTTCGAGTTGGACTTGAACTCGAGTCAAATAACGCCATCTTCAATGGCAATTTATTTACTGCTCTTTGTACCAGCGCCCATACCAACTACACCACGGAAGAACAACTTGTCGCGACAATTAATGCATGATTACATCCAAAATGTGGTAAAATTCAATAATAATAATTTGACCGAACCCTTAAAAGAATAAAATTTTAATAAACTCACACAAAATGAGACACAAATTATATGTACATACGTGTACATATATAGTATGTTTGTTCCCTTCCCTTACGTTTAGTTCATTTAACTTACTTTATAATGAATTGTTATATTTAATTTCAATAGACTTCGAATAAAATTAAAATATTTTATAAAATAAATAAACTAAATTAAAAATCGTATAAAATAAAATGTCATAAATTAAATTAAATTAAAGTAAAACACATTAAATAAATTATAAAGCAAAATAAAATACATAAAGTAAAATTATATGATATAAACAAAATCAAATTTTTTAAATAAATAAAGTAAAATAAAATTAAATCAAACAAAATAAACTTAAAAAAAATAATAATAAAATGAAACAAAATAAAATAATTTGACTAAATTAAGCAAAATAAAATAAACATACACTAAATAAGAAAATAATTAAAAATAAATAAGGAAAAATAAAGTAAACCGAAATAAAATATAAAAATTTAATAAAATAAAAAGAAAAAAGAAAATAAAAATATTAAACAAAATGTAATAAAATAAAACAAGCATAAAATTTAAATAAAATAAAATTAAATAAAAGAAAATGAAGTAAAATAAAATAAATAAAGGAAATAAAATAATAAAAATAAATAAAAGAAAATAAAATGATTAAAAATGAAATGAAATGAAATAGAACAAAATTGAATAAATAAGCAAAATAAAATAAAATAATAAAGTTTCAATAAAAAAATTAAACTAAATTAAAAATTAAATAAAATAAAAAGAAAGAAAGAAATTTAAATATTAATAAAAAAGGAAATAAAATTAAATAAATAAATTAAAAATTAAATAAAATAAAAAGAAAGAAATTAAAATATTAATAAAAAAAGGAAATAAAATTAAATAAATAAATCAACTAAAATTAAAAATATAGATAAATAATTTAATTAAATAAATAAAGTTTAAAAAATAAATAAAAGTATAAAACAAAAAAATAAAACAAAATATATTTATATGAAATAAAACAAAATAAATTTAAAAAAAAAAATAATTGAATAATGGTTAAAAAAAAAAAAAAAATTTAAATGAATTAAAATGAAAAAAATAAAATAAAATAAACAAACTCAAATGAAATGTAACAAATTAAATAAACTTAAAATTTACACAAAATAAATGAATGAAAGAAAATAAAATGACATGAAATAAAACAAATTTAAATTAAATGAAATAAAATAACAAAATTAAAATAAATATGTAAATTATTATAAATAAAATAAAATAAAAAATGTAAAAAATTAAATTAAAAAAAAATAAAATGAAATGTAATAAAATTAAATTAAAAAAATTGAAATAAAATTAAATAATTCAAAATGTAATAAAATAAAACGTTTTACGTATGTTAAATAAAATTAAAAGAAAATAGAATTAATAAAAATGAAAAGAAATGAAATAGAATAGAATAAAATAAAATATCATAAAATAAAAAAGTTTCTATAAAAAAATTAAACTAAATTTGAAATTAAATAATGTAAAAAGAAAGAAGGAAATTAAAATAATAATAAAATAGGTAATAAAATAAATTAACTAAAATGAAAATAAATAAATAAAATAATTTAATTAAATTAAGTTTAAAAATTAAATGAAAGAATAATAGAAAAAATAAAATAAAATAGAATATATTTGAATAAATGAAATAAACCAAACAAAAATAATTGTATAATGGTTAAAAAATAAAATAAATTGAAATGAATTAAAATGAAAAAAATTTAAATAATAAATTATTAATAAAATAGAATGTAAAAAAATAAATAAATGTGAAATTTAAATAGAATAAATGATTAAAATAGAATAAAATGAGATGAAATAAAAAAATATAAATAAATTGAAATAAAATAACAAAATTAAATTAAATATATAAATTGAGATAAATAAAATTAAGTGAAATAAAATAAAAATATGTAAAAAATAAATATAAAAAAATTAAATAAAATGTAATAAAATGAAATTTAAAAAATTGAAACATAATAAAATAATTCATAGTGAAATAAAATTAAACAAAATAAAGTAAAAAGAAATTAAAAAAAATAAAAAGAAAGAAGTATTAACATTCTCTTCTTCTCACTGTACTTTGAATTTGCAAATTTCGCAACGACGAAAATCAGTGAATTCCACTACAGATATTTATTCAGTATAAGTATACTTGAACATAAAGGGTATACAAACTTTTACTGATTTAAAATCCAAACTCTCGACAGAAGAAGCAAACTGAGAGGTGATGTTAGTAATGAGAGTACTCTCTTTTGGAGTATTGCAATATTATATTTGATTTTATTTGTTATTGGTTTTTATACATTCAAAAAATAACTTTAATTGCTGCTTTTGAAAAAAAGGAGGCACAAATGAAAATATTTTCATGCAAATGGAATACGAATCATAGTAAATTTATGAATAAAATCCAATTTTTACGCTTTGTTTAAATTAATTCGCACATAAAAAAATAGTATTAATTATCATCAAAATCAATTGTGGATTATATCTTGCACGGACTGACATCAAAAACATTATTTCGTAGCAAAATGTGGTTTTCCCCATACGAAAACTTTCAAACTAATACACATCGAAAACCACTTCAAAAATTCACGTTCCACTCATTCTAATCGGTGTCTGCTCTAGTTTGGTTTATTTTTTTATTCCAAAGAGTATGAATTGAAAAAAAAATAAATTCAAATTGAAAGCTTAAGTTGTTTGATTAATCTTTTTTGATATTTAAGTTTTCACAAACAACCAGCAAGAGAACTTCGGAGAGAAGTTTAAATCAGGATCTGTAATGATTTTTAGTAACTTAATATTTAGAGTTCTTGTCTTAGAGTTCTCTGTAACATTTTCTGTAACGCATAATTCGAATGTCCCTTGAGGTGGGTAAAGAACGAATAAATAAGGTTGAAGTCGCAGGTTTCTAGGAACACAACGGCTGCCAATGAAAATGAATGATATACGTTCATATTAAGCCGATGGCAAATAAAGTGGAAAACGTCCAGTAAAGTAAAAAACGGGTTTGCTCTGAAACAATGTACATTTTTCCAGTCAGTTATTTTTCTCAAAAAAAATGTAAAATGTATATATTCATATCTAGAATATATTTTCCAAGCTAACAATCTAGCTTCAATTTTAGTTCTTTGAAATTCGAGAAAGAATTTAGAAATAGGCGATTTTAAAATCAGTAAATTATCATCTCCCGTGCCAATTCCAATTTTTCATACAACACGAACCATATGTGCTGACTTCTCCTAATATTCCAGCAATGGGAATCAATGGGTTACTGTCCATATATAACTTAGGACAGGATACAAAACTATGACCACTATTAATACAAAAAAAAAATCTCACAAAAATTTTAATCTACGCTTTTTGTTTGAACTGAAGCAGCTGTACAGTGGAAACCCGATAAATTTAACCAATTTATCCATTTAAATATGAACTTGTCACATTTTAATTTTTGTATCAAAAATTTGGTATTCGTTTTTTGACCCCATTTTATAATCAATTATATGGCAACACAGCACTCGTTCTGCTATGGACATCTCTGTTCTACTTGCGGCTGGCAGGGCAAATGAGTAGATCCGCCATTTTGTTAGTGTGTGCGCGAACATGGTCGTGGCATTACAGCGATAGTTGCGATAGTGGTCAGATAAATACGTTCAATTAATGGATATTAAATAAGCGGATTTGTGTGATAAACACAATTAAGAAAGTAATTTTTTTTATGAAACTTAAAAATATTTAATTATATATTAGTTCTTGTCTTTAGTCTTTTAATATTTCGGTTCGATTTTCTCTCGGGTGTGTTCGTATGAGTGAGTGCATCATTGATTCGTCGTGCTTTTTTCGCGACTCGTTACAATGGCAATTTCGACAGATTTTAATAAAGTTTTTCTGTGAAAGTTTGTTCTTGTTGATATAACTTTGATTAAATGAAATAATTTTTTAGTGTTATCTAAATGTTTTTATAGATTGAGTTGTTTAAAAATTGTGTAAATAAATTTACAAAACAAAGTTAAATATTCGATGCAACTCGTTGATTTATTGCTCATACGATTCGGAAGCCGTGCAGTTGTGTGTGTACAAGCGAGTATAATATGCATAGAAATTCGTTTTTTCATTATACTCGCTGTTCACTTATTTATGTCAAAATTGAAAAGGTAGATAGTGAAAGAGAATTTGTAGCAAAATATTGAGTTATGGAGTATAATGTGCAAGAAGAGTGCGGCTATGTATAATTTGTGTGTGAGTGTTGCACTGGCATAGCCTTTGTAAATTACTCGTATACCATCTCTTTTAGCTGTCGGGGTCTTATATTCATTAACCGAATCCGAACGAAGATAGTATCAGTTTTGTACACTTGCTTTGTGAGAAAGAGTGATGCCTTTTGTGAAAGAATAAAGAGGGTATTTTTAATTCGTATATGGCAACAAAACAAAGTTCTTAAAAATTGATTGTAAATACTAATTTAAACTTTTTGTACTTATATTCTTAGGCTAATTAGCTGAAGTGATTTCGTGTGCTCCGTGTAATCAGTTCTTTCTGTTTCTAAATTTCCCTGTGTCGGCTTTGACTGGCCTAATCGTTTTGTGTGGCAACATTGGACTCGCGTTGTTCACCGACTCTCGCAAATCATACTCGACTCTTTTAGTTTCAGTCTTTCTTCCTAGTTCTGTCGTTACTCGTTCGCGAAATCAGTTGAGTTTTTACTGGTGCGGAGCAAACGGATTGAATTTTTGTTTTATTGTTGCGAAAAGAATTTAAAAAAATTACTAAAAATCAAGATAAAATTTAAAAATTTATTTGATAAAAATCAAAATAAGAGAAAATTGTGAACTCTAATTGAAAATTGATCATCCAAATAAATACAATGTTTTTAATAAAAATAAAAAGTGAGTAAAATGTGGTTGATATTTTCGAAATATAATTAAAATTTTACTTAAATTTTGTCTTTTTGCTTGGAAATTTTAAAATTTTTCTTAACATAAAAATATATAAAACAAAAATACTGCAAATAGAAATTTTCGATACGACGTGAAAACTTGCGACAAAAAATTTCAGTCATTGCTGTCTGTTTTTCTTTCTTTTTCCAATACTGCTCACACTCGTTGGCCGAGATAGTCGGTAATCATTTGCGGTAGTGCAAGCAACACACTCACTGACAGTTCGTGTTTTATATACAATATTGGGAGCGAATTGTTCGGCTTTTGGTAGCACAGCAAAACCTATTTAGTAGAGCTAAAAGTCCGTCAGTTTCAAAGTATCGAGTATTTAAGAAATAATCGAGCGAATATATAGTTAGCAAATAAACGAGTAGTTACCATAAAATACATTTGTTCTTCTCGCGCATTAAAATGCAAAGCAACTCGGTGTGTTAGAGCGAATGAATGAAACAGCGTTAAAATGTATACGCTTGAATTTAAGACAAATTGGGCGCATATACGACAGAATGATCGAATAAATGACACGAATATGTGTGAACGGGCACTCGGCGGTCGGTTGAAATGAAAGATGAACAAGTTAAGGAGAAAATAATTCTGTTTTCCATTTGCTATGATAATTATGGCTCTTTATTTTCACAAAATGCATAAAGAACAATTAGTTGGGACTTTTTATTTTAAAATGTATGGCTAAATGTAATATTATGTACAAAATAACCTTTTTTAGGTATCAATGAGCCAAAAGTTTGTCAAGTGACAGTGTTTTCATTTGGTACACAAACAAATTGAACCATTCTTTGATAAAAGAAAAATAAACATAATATACTAAAAATTACTATACAATTATGACAGCTGTAAGATATTTTTTCTACATCTTTTGCAGTTCATGTGCAATTAAATAACGCAGATATTTTTGTATAATGCAAAAAAGGCGCAATATTACATTCAATGAAAACAATGTTATGTGCTGAAGATGTTGTTGGTGATAAACGTCAGCGTTTAAAAATATTGATTAGAGAAAAATAAAATGTGTAAAGTGTTAATAAACAAATAACTGACAGTATGAACCTAAATCTTGTTCACTTACACCTACCATTTACTTCAACAACTCTGAGAACTGCACATATTCATCAAGCCAGAAGATTCGTAGAAACTAAATAAACGAGAAGGAATACAAAGCCGGAATTTCACGGCCCACCTTTTCTACTTATGACACAAAATGCACTCAATCGCAGTCGACATAATCGCTTTAACTCTGTTGGAACATTTTGTAATTGTGCGAAAGCGATTTCAAAGAGTGTACCCTTTTATAAAAAAATTTCTGAAAAGCATCCACGGTGAACAACAATACCAAATTGGGAAAGTTTTGCCTTCTTATACTGTTATCTCGGCGGTGACTGCATCAGTTTCGAGTGATCCACTTCGGCAAATTAAACCATTTTTGGAAAATACAACTTTTCACAACAAGCGTATTATGTTTTAAACTACCGAGCCATCTATTAATCTTATATAATTTCGCGCTTTTGACACAAACAATATAAACTTTCAATTTACCGTTTGCAAAATTTGGACTATATTATAGAAAAACCGTTTCGTTTATCAGATACAAAATAAAGTGATAGCCTGCAAAACTTTCATTCATCTACATACATTAAGAGCAAAATAAGGATATCTCCATGATGGCAGATCATTTGGATGAACCGCCTCAAAAGCGGACAAAAATGGATCCAAGTAAGTACAAAGACATCAGTTAATAAAAAGTTATATTTATATTGTTACATCCGTGGAAAGACTTAAAATATTCGTATTAAAACATTAAATTTATTTTAGCGGATTATGTGTCTGTCTTAGAAGATGATCTACCAGACGAACTTGTTACTGCCAACAGTAATTGGCCAGATCCTTTGGGTGGCGGGCCCGGAGGTCCAGGATCTGGTCTTGGAGTCAATGTAGTTGGTGGGCCTAACAAACCGCCTGCTCAAGGTCCCGGACCAGGTGGATCACAAATGAATGGAGGTGGTGACGATACATCGGGTGTGGGTGGTAATCAAGTAGGTGGAAATCCTTTGAGACAAATGCAACACCATCAACATCTGCAACAGTTATTGCAACAACAAGTAAGCAGTTATTTCATTCCCTGTTGGCTTTATTATTTATAAATGGACATTAAAATTATATATATAAAAATATTTTTATTTTAAATATTTACAGGGAAATAAAAATCCCGGAATGATAGGAAATCCAATGGGCGGAGGGGGCTTAAATCAACTAGGAAGTAAATCACCTAACATGCAGTCACCAAACGCAGCTGGAATGCAAGTAGTTAGTGGGCAGATGGGCATGGTGAATTCTATGTCTATGTCGATTTCTAACAATGGAAATCAAGGAATGAATACAATGCCTGGTAAGAAGATGTTATTTTATATAATAAATTTACATGAATTTTCCTATTCGATGAAATCATGAAAAATTTATAAGTTCCGTAAAGCCAGCAACCAAATTAAGAGAACAGAAATTACTTATTTTCCCAATTGGGAAAAGAAAGAAATTCGAAATCATTTTCTATAGAGCTTCAAAAAAAAAAAAATATAAAAAAAATATGATACATCGGTTCGCTTCCATTTAGCTGCAAAAATTTAGCTTTATGCTTTCGTTACTTTAAAAAAAAATTGGAGAAATCAACAAAGTAAATTTTTTAATTCAACTTTTGTTCACCTTTTTCATATTAAATCTTTTATATGTGTTTAAAGTAAAATTGAATTTGAAGTCATATTGGTTTTGTTAACTAAAATTCACCAGTAAATTGTTTGTGCGTCTGGCATTTTAATTCCCACTTGCGAACACTTTGCCAAATACCGTTTTCGTATTTTCCAAAAAAGAAAAAGATTTGACACTTTGTACATGTTACAAATAATATTCTAAATGACTCATTTTTTTATGCAGGCATGAATACCATTGCTCAGGGTAATTTAGGAGGCATGGTGATCACCAATAGTAATTTGGGCAGTTTGGGTGGAAATGCTGGAATGGTAAACACATTGAAACAACAAATTAGTGCTGGCGCTGGAGGCATGATGACAGCTGGTCCTGGTGGAGTTGGACCAGTTGGGAATATGGGTCCTGTTGGCGGACCAAATCAAGGAATGCATTTAGGTGGCGGACCAGGTCATCCGCAAGGCTTACAGAATGGTCCAATGATGGGAAGAATGGTCGGACAACATCTACCACGTGGCCCCAATCCACATTTAATGGCTGGCAATGGACCTGGAGTTGGACCAGGCGGAGGTCCACGAATGCAGAATCCAAATATTCAAATGGGTATGTTTTTATGTTATCCTACCATACTTCATTATGATGTCAAACATTCATTTAGCGCACAGTGATTCGACCAATTAATTCCGTCTGATAAAGTATATACAATAAATTGTTTAAAATATTTTTGTGGGAATAAAAAATGGGGTGTGGAGAAGTAAGAGAACAATACATGCGTTGTTAAAATTTAAAAATTATCGAATCTTCATACCTAAAATCAAGTATTTATTTGATTAATTATTATTTTTTTTTTTTTTACAAAAATGCCCACATTTTTTTGTCTGAAATTCATAAAAAACTTTTATACTCTAAAGATATTTTTTGATATTAGTGGTATTGAAACATAATAGTACGAAGAAGAGGTATTTTATGAGAACGTGACTGAAACATTCATATATCACATTTTTTGTCAAACATATAATATATCTTAACTTTTAAATCATTCATTACAACGACAATTCTTTTAAAATTAAAATATCTTTAAAAAATATTGTATCCCTTTACAATTTTTTATTTCGTCCCTTATTTGTATTTTTATTTGGATCAAATCACTGTGCAGCTCAACGACCAGATGTGTTAAACGGTAATCTAACATACGGTGGTCCAGGTCAAATGGCGAACATGGTTGGCGGCAATGTTCCAGTCGGGCCTAATGGACCCTATGGAAATACCGTAGGTGGTGTTGGAAATTATGGTGGTCCGGGTGGACCTCAAAGTGGGCTGAATGTAAACCCAAATAATCCGCAGCAGCAACTTTTGGCACAACAAATGGCTCAACGTGGCGGAGTTCATCACATGCTACAGGGAAGCCGACCTGGAGTGCCAATGGGAATGGCTGGTGTTGGAAATGATGGTACAGCGGGAGGTCTAGTAGGTGGTCCTCAACAACAACAGCAGCAACAGCAACAAATGGGTCCAAACCAACAACAAAATACGCAAGGTGGTGTTATGGGAGGCTCGGGAATGGGACCTCGACCACCACAACCAGGAGGTGGTCCACAACAAAATCAAATTCTCCATCAACAGCAACAACAACAACCAGGCACTTCACAACAGTCAAGTGGTGGTGCAGCTGGTGGTAGTAGCACAGGTGGTGGCTCTGGTGGCGGAGGTCAACATCTATCCGAGGAACGCAAAAAACATATACAACAACAACTCGTTCTATTATTACATGCACACAAATGTAATCGCCGCGAAACCCTCAATCCTAACCGAGAAAAATGTATAGTACCATATTGTAAGTCCATGCAAGATGTACTGGCGCATATGGCAACCTGTAAACAGAGTAAAGAATGTAGTGTACAACATTGTACCTCTTCTCGGCAAATTCTGTTGCATTATAAGACTTGTACGCGTTCGGATTGTATTATTTGCTTTCCGTTTCGACAGCAACAGTATGGGCCAAACGCCAGCGGAGCGAATGCCAACGCAAATGCTAATCAACCTTTGCAAAATATGGTAAAGCAACAACAACAACAACAACAGCAACATCAGCAACCCGACGGAAGTTCTGTAGGTGGAGGTGGTCCTCAAAATTCTGGAATAACTCAACAGAATACCGGTGGACCAAATATTGTTACCGGGCCGGGCGGACAAATGGGCATGCCCGGTGGTCCAAATCAACAACAGTTAGGCGTTAAGCCGAATGTGGACATTTCACAACAAATGCAACAACAAAATGCACAGAATCCGAATCAAGAGATACGACGTTTCGACAGTTTGGGCATGCAAGGTGCTGTTTCTAATGCAGGACCGGGAGCTAACATGTTACAGAACAATGCGGTGAATACCCAGCAGCAATTGCAGGGTATACGCATGCCGGGGGGCGGACCAGCAGTTCGTGTTATGTCTGCGCAAGTTGGAGGACCCGGAGGTGGCATTGGTACCGGTTCAAACGCCAACACTATAATGGGCAATAACATGATGATTGGCGGTGCTGCTGGCCAAGATGGTGGCATGCAACAGCAAACACAAAATGTTCAACAACAGGTGCTTTTACAGGGCGGAAGTGGCGGAGGACATAACCCACAGTTGGCAGGTTTAATTAGTGGACCGAATACCAGCAATGCGGGTCAAAATCAACAAAATGCTGGACAGCAGCAACAGCAATCAAACATTCCTCTTTCAGTGAACGTTCACAATTTTAACAACAATTCCACGTTTAACAATGCGCAGTTAAGTGCCAATACCGGCAATACAGGTGACATGGTAGGCATAGGTGGAAATGGTCCTCCACCGAACAAGCAGATGGTGAGCGCACAAGAGTTGGCGAAATTAAAATTGCAATCGCATAATGTAGCAATGGCTAATTCAACAACTGTAAGTGGCACATCTGGCGGACCTGGCGGAGTTGTAGGAGGTAACGGTAGTTCAGGTGGACCCGCCGCACCAGGGGGAAATGGCGTAAATTCTGGTATGGTAGGCCCTCAAGCTAACAATGCACAAAGCGGTGGGGCAACAACGTCACAAGGAGGCGCAAACAACAATACTGGATCGGAAGAAAGAGACTGGCGGGAGTCAGTAACAGCAGATTTACGAAAACATCTTGTGCACAAACTTGTGCAAGCAATATTCCCAACATCGGATCCAACAACTATGGCTGATAAACGTATGACTAATCTGGTTTCATACGCAGAGAAAGTTGAAAAAGATATGTACGAAGCAGCCAAGTCGCGATCAGAGTATTATCACTTGCTTGCTGAAAAGATCTATAAAATACAAAAGGAATTGGAAGAGAAGCGTATCAAACGAAAAGAGCAACAAATGCTAATAATGCAGCAACAGCAACAAAGCTCTGGAGGAGGAGGATCCGGCCCAGGGCCGAGTAACGCGGTTCCAGTTGGTCAACAACTTCCTCCTGGTCATCCTCAAGCACAACAAACCCAAATCCGACCAATGATTAGCCCTATGGGTGGCGCTGGAGGGCAGGGTATGCCAATGGGAGCTACCGGTATGATGCAACCGCAAATGAGAGGACAAGCTCCAGGTAACGTGGGCATGATGCCTGGACAGGGCGGTCAAAATATGGTAGGAATACGGAGTCACTCTCCTGGGGGTAATTTGCTAGCTTTACATCAACAGCAACAACAAAGGATGCAATTCCCTCAACAGCAACAAGGCAATTTACTGGTCGGTCCACCAGGTCCCAGTCCAAATAGTGGCATGGGTACAATGCCTACATCTACACCACAGAGTATTGTCGTGCCAAGTCCAGTTTTGTCCCCCTACGGTGTCCAAGTGATTCCAGCTAGTCAAGTAGGTCCCGGGGGTGTCACAAATGTATTGACAAGTCCAGTGCCTTGTCCACAGCAGTTCATCACTGCAAACGGCGCCAACGGAACACAGTCGGCTCAGCAAATTTCCGAAATAATGAAACAACGGCTTATGCAAGCTCAACACCAGCAGCAACAACAACAGCAACAGCAGCAACAACAACAATCGAATATGTTGTTACCACAATCACCATTCAATAATCCTGCACATATACAACAGCAGCAACAACAAAATCCCTTCCCCTCACCCATGTCGCAGCAGCAGCAGCAACAACAACAACAACAGCAACAGCAGCAACAACAACAGCAGCAGCAACAACAACAGCTACAACAGCAGCAGCAGCAGCAACAACAACAACAACAGCAACAGAAGCAAAATGCAGGAACAGTGGGAAATATGCCGCCAACACCTACTAGTCTAGAGTCTTTAGTCAGTGGGGGTTCGGTTGGTACGAATGCTGCAATTGGTGGTCCCGCAACAGGTGGCATGGTTGCAGCTCCTAGTCCCTCACCTAATTTCCTGCCAAATGGTCCAATAGGTACCCCATCAAACAATCCACCATCGGTTACATCACTTATGCAGCCCCTGAGTGAACGTGCAAGCAGCACTCCTCCCATTATGGCGGCTTCACCATCATCTGGAGTACCTGGTACCTCGTTGTCGGTGAATGCTAGTATAGCGTCAAGTACTACTGGCGTACCAATGAGTGGTACAGGAACAACATTAACCACAACCGCATCATCTTCCAGCTCTGCTGTATCGGTGACAGTACCATCTAATACTGTCAATACAAGTAGTAATGGTCCCACAATAGCTCAACAACAACAACAAATATCAATGGGAAAAGGCGGTAATAGCAACAGCAGTAGTAGCGCGAGCACAGCAGCCACCACTACCTCAACATCGACTGTAATGAGTTCACGTCCTTCATCTAGCAGTAATCTTTCATCACAAATGGCCGCCTTAGAAGCGGCCGCCCGCGATAACGATGAGACTCCTCCATCGCCAAGTGCGGACTCTGGCGGTGAGAGTGGTAATGCTTCGAAAGGCAAGTTGGACTCTATTAAACAGGAAGATGATATTAAAAAGGAGTATATGGAAGATGGCAGTGGCGGGGCTGGAGATAATTCCCAAATGGACTCATCATCAGCCGGTGTAGGTAAAAATGCCAACAATGATGGCACCAATTCGAAAAATGAAATCAAGACTGAAGACGGTGATTCCCTAATAAAAGCTGAACCAATGGACACTGACGATAACAGTGGCACCAATGGTGTAGGTAGGAGCGGAAATGCCAGCGCTGATAACAAACACGACCCAAAATCATCGACAGATGGCGATGTTAAAATGAAATCAGAAACAAAACCGGTAGTACCGGAGCCACTGATGCCAAATGCTGGTGATAAAAAGAAGAAATGCGGTATGTATTTAATATCACAAAAATAAAATAGTTATAGGAAATTAATATGATGTACCTTATTATTTTAGTATTTAATCCCGAGGAGTTAAAACAAGCGCTGTTGCCAACTCTAGACAAGCTGATGCACCACGAACCCGAATCAGCACCGTTTCGTTGTCCTGTGGATCCACAAATACTTGGCATACCAGACTACTTTGATATTGTCAAGAAGCCCATGGATTTGGGTACCATACGAAATAATTTGATGAATGGCAAATACAATGATCCATGGGAATATGTCGACGATGTGTGGCTAATGTTTGACAATGCCTGGCTGTATAATCGGAAAACTTCGCGTGTTTACCGATATTGTACAAAGGTAAGTTCTTAAACTCTTCGCCAATAGCAGAATTGATTTAGTTTTATTATCGTTAAACCTGTACAAGTTAATAAGTAATACATATATACATACATGTATGTATGTATCTCATTTATTAAGACTTCCAAACAAGTGTTTGTATAAGAGTTAGTAAAAAAATAAGGCATTGACGATATTTTAATATACTCTTTTTTTTACAGCTATCTGAGGTATTTGAGCAAGAAATAGATCCAGTGATGCAAGCTTTGGGGTACTGTTGTGGACGAAAATACACATTTAATCCGCAGGTGCTGTGTTGCTTTGGAAAACAGCTTTGTACTATCCCACGTGATGCCAAGTATTACAGTTATCAAAATAGGTATGTAAAATATTTTTTGATTTAAGAAATACACACCTTATGCATCTAGTAAACTCACAAAAGTTATGAATACCGTTAAAATTATTTCAAAACATAAGAAACCATTCGAATTATGCGTTGCTGCGAAATGTAGTCGCTTGGAACACAGCCATTTAAAGTGAAGTTATATTGAGATAACTTTTGTTAAATAACTAATTACATAACAAATTGTGAATATATTAATGTTTTGTGTGTTTATATGATATGGGTTGTGGACTGTGGACTGTGGACTGTTTAACATAAAAAGGCTACAACAATGTTCGGGATGTCTATAAAACCACTTTTCACAAATACGCATACAAGAGAGTAATACAATTTTTTCCCAAAAGTGTATGCTATATAGTCGAATAAGAACAACTTGACCCTCTACTACATAGATGCCTTGTTTATAGAGAATACAGTTAACATCGTTAACAATCTATTTATATATACTTAAGAGGAAATTTGTTTGACAATGCATATTTACATATTTTAAGAGAGAAAAACACAGTTTCTTGCTAATTTTACTCGGTGTGGAAGGGGTTAAAAGCGTAATCTATTGGCATCATTTTTGTTGATAAATATAGGTCAAGGAAAGTTGAAAATATATTTACTACTACCTGCTTGTAAAACCAAGAGTCGAAATCAAAATCCGAACAATGTTAACAAACTAAATAATTTTTACAATTCCTTGATTAAGTCACTCATCCGTTTACCTCTTCTGTTATGAACAATAACTTGTCTGGTAATTTTATGGCAATTTGAAAGGGGCTAAAATCGGTTAACGATTTAATTAAATATTTTAGACCAACTTAAGAGGATTCTTTCTTGTTCTTTTTGGAACAATTATATTGACGTATATAGAAAAAGGAAAAAAAACAGGGTGAAGGTCATATATGAGTTTGCCATGTTTTGCTCATAATTTAATTATAAAAATGTCTCCGTTTTTTGAAATAGTATTTTTTCTACCTAGCCTTTTTTTTAGATGATACACTTGCGTGAAGTTAACGAAATCCTAAAGAAAACCAGACCCAAAATAAATGGTTCTTAAGGAGCAAAGCCACTCTAGAGGTTGAAAGATAGACTCTTCTTTTTTGAATTTGTTGTAGGAATATGGGAATTGGAGTAGAATTTCTATTTAACTATTTCATTGAACATATATTGAAGTATACAATTTTTTTTTTTTATTTTTTTTTATACAAAATGGCGGTGTGTGATACAAGTCCATTATATAATCATATAATCCATGTTTTCTTTTTTTTAAAGACTTCCACGGGAGGACCGATTTCCTCTAGAACAGAAAAGTAAAAAAGCTTTATGATTTACAAACTATGGTCTTTGAAAGTACGTACTGATTTATTTTTAACTAATTTTTGTGAAAGCGACACAAATTTTATTTTTTTAAAAAGATTCATATTTGACTAAGCGCAAAATTATTAAAAAAAAAGTTTATTTTTTTTTTATCGAAAAACGGTTACGTACTTCCAAACAAAAAGTATTTGCGAAGTTACCATCAAAATCTCAGACAAATCGATGCAATAGGGTCCTAATAATCTGTCCTCCCTGTTTGAAAAATGTGATTTTGAGAAAAACGCGTTTAAAATTTTCATTATACTCACCACACGCTCTTAGGGGCTGCAGCAAAATAAAAAGTTCAACTATTTCAAATATTTTTTTTTTTTTTGCTTTAAAGCCAATTATATATCATTTATAGAACCCAAAGGAGGTACCCTGTGAGAAAGAAATTATTTGTGTAAAGCAAATTTTAGAAAATTAAACGCCATACATATCTATATATTATATGGTATTCTATGCGGTAGAGGGTTGAAAAATAATAAATTCGTATTTTAAAGAATTTTGAAAAATAATTTAAAAAAATGTTAGAAACTTCTGTATTGTATATGAAGATTGTTGAGGCCTTTTTATTAGTATACATTCAAGTTACGAGTACATATAATACAAAGTGACTGTACATACTCTACTAAATCCTTAATCATTTATACTACTACTTTTGGTGTTGCTTGGTAGATTAGTATTTTAATTGAAGTTAATGCTAATTTAGTAAAATATTATTCTTTACAATATGTAAATATATTTATCAAATCGTTAAGGCCAGGTTCCTCCATAAAACGTGTTTTTTTTAAACAAATATTATTTATTTTAAAAAATATGTATAAATCAAAATTTTTGTTTCAAATAGACGTATAAAAATATTTATTGAATTTTTTTTTTAAATGGTGGCTCTCTCTTTTGCTCTGCAAAACGAATCATCTGAAAGCAAAAAACAAAACGGGGTTCTTACTCTGTATCACATTGGCTATGGGCGGAACTACAACGAGACATTTTCACACAAAAAAATGGCGGACTTTTCAATTTTTCCTTTGTTTTCGATTTTAATTGTTTATAAACTTTTTAAATAACAATGAACCGACCATAGAGAGACAATTTAGGAGTAAATTGTCGTTTAGTTCCTTTTGATAAGTTCAATAGGTTCTAAATAAGAGTGTCACCCAGTTAAACGTTTCGAGAAAAAGGCGATCAAAGTTCTCGAGCGGCCGGTCTCTCCTCCTCTATATTTACTTCTTGTTTGTAAGGATCTTCGGGACTAATTCTATATTATTTCTATGAGTATTTTATAGCAATTAACAGGAAGAAAAAAATGTCGATTTTTTGATAATTTTGTTAAGAGAAACCTGGAATTTGTATCATTAACTTTTTTTTGATATATAGGGTTAGTAATTCTAAATGTGTCCAATTTTTTAATATTAAAAATGTGAAAAATCTGTACTCCATATTATTATTGATCACGTGGTTCATGACAAACATTAGGTATTGGTCAAAACTACAGCACAATTCTAAAGGTCTTTCATTATTTTTTATTACTTGAGCACTACTATTTAGCATTAAAGCATTTGGGTACTAATAACTTTAGGCAATATATTAAACGAAGTTCATTTGGCCACTTCAAAGAGTTCTTTTTTGTTAATAATTTTCCCCTATGATTTTTGAAATCACTATTTACAAAAAGTTCTCAAATCGAAAGATTCAGCTGGCCTTTCGTAAGATCCTTTCAGAATTTTACTGCATTTCCAGATTTTACACAGCCTAAGGAATTTTTAGGTTCATTATTCTGCTGGGATGTTCTGACCAGTCGATTTTTAAATAGCAAAGGTATTATTATTATTTTTATTATACTTTATAAATTTTGAAACGCAATATATATAATATAATATTAGCGCTTTGTAACCGCTGAGGCGATTTTCGGCCGAGATCTTTCTCCAATTTGTGGTTTTGCGTCTTGAAATGCAATATTTCTTGTTATTTCAAAGATCAATTTGGCCTTTTTTCTTGCCACTGGATGCTTAACAGTAAAAGAAAATTTTATAAGCAAACATTTTACAGTATGTTACGCCTGGAAAATGTTTCTTCTATTAGAAATTTCAACTTCTCGTTACTATTTTACTATATAAAGTTACTTATGGGGAATACTTAATTCTTTTTTTTAATTAAAAGACCAAAGTGGAGAAAGAGCATTTGAATATATGGGAAACTGTATTTATTAATCACTTCATTTCCAAAATTTAGAACTTTTCTCAAATATTCAGTACCTTCAATGTTTGGACGTTGCTACAAAATCATAGGAGGCACGTGAATGATCCTTTATTAGAGTCCTATAATTTCCTAACTCTGTTGTATGTTGACGAAAAGCCTTGTCGCCATTTGTCTTGTTGTCAGTTCCCAACGTACTGACCTCGAACAGGTCTCGCTGCAAAGAGTATCTAGAAGTTTGGGTACACTAATGACCTGCCAACATGAAAATAAAATCGCTCCGACCATGATAGACTCAGTAAACTAACTTTCTGGATAAGCCTCGTACATAAGTATTAGAATGAAACTAATGTTCTCTCCTGTTAGAACGTTTCCCAAACAATGCTCCGACGTTGCTACAAAATTATAGGAAACACTTCAAAATAATTATTTAAAATAATTCTTTTGTTTGTTTTCTTATTGTTAATAAAAGAAAATGAAGTTTTCCATAGAACAATAACAAAAATAATTAAAATGAAAATTTCGGTCAGAACCGAAGTTTACAACCAATTAAATATAATTTGCAGAAAATAACAACAACGTCCACACTAATTCATACGATTTAAGGGAAGTGTTGTTTTGTAGCAGTTTATTACACCTCATTTAGGGAGCAAGTACAGCTAATTACCGTTTTTGAGATCTTCTAACGGATGCGAAAGGAAATCGGTTTCTTCGATAGATTCCGAAAATAAGGAAATAGATGTTAGATTTGTTGATTTAATGAGGCAATGAGATAGTGTCGAGCGAGGACTTGAAATGTATATATGCAAGACGTACGTTAGCTTTGTTAGTGGAGAACATTTTTATTTCTTTATCACCCCTTCTGAGGTCTTTTGTCCTTCGTGGACATGAATGAAACGTATCATTCTAGAGAATACACCGCCTTGGTATTTTGTTTTGTCCAAATTATTAGGAACGAATATAAATAGTTAATGTTGTTGTTGTAGATAACCGTCGCTAACCCCGCTCATGAGAAGATACTCTCCATATGCAGGGCATACGTTGGGTATGCTGGGGTCTAGCCTGGATAAGTGGCAGTGTAACCTGCTACAGTATCCAGACCTAAGTTGTGCCAAGGTCACGCGGGTCTCTCGAGGCAGCACAAGCTCGTTGTCTGCTATGGGTGGTGATTTTTCTCCGAGCATGTCCAGCGATTGTTGCACATGTTGCTGGATTGTGTCATTTAGATCTAGTACTCACTTTCTGATGAGCCTGGGTGGAGGTACAGCTTCTATTTGGTGCCTATTGGGATGCTCCCTGCTTATACTTGCTTTTTGCTCGCTCGTCCATTGCTTTATGTGCATATGTATGTGTTTTTTAATTGAAAAAAAAAAATGAAACGTTTAATTCATATTAAATGCCATTAAAAATATTAAAAACCGCTTTCTATTAATTTTTTCTGCCTTCTATTTTTGTCCTCCCGCCTCGTTTGTGTTAGCGCAGTGATAAAATGTATATATGTATATATGTATGAACGTTTGTGTGCGTGCGTTCTTTGGTGCAATAAAAAGTAGGTGAAATAAATTTATTTCCGAGTTTATTCCATCGTTGTGTACACGTAATAAAAAAAAATAATATTAGCCGACATTACGCATTAACATTCGAGTGGCCATGGTTCGAGTTCTGGTCCAACCAACAGCCAAAATTAAAGAAAATGAATTTTTCTAATTTCGTTCGCCCCTCCACAAGGAATGTCAACCCTTCCGAACGTATTTCCGCCATGAAAAGAAATGCTCCTCATAAAAATCCATCGGCCGTTCGTAGACGGTTTAGAATGAACTTTATGTACCTCCATTTTTTGGAAAAACGACAAGACGCACACCATTTATTGTACATATAATCACTCCCACCACCGCTGTAATGCAGTAAATGTCATCTATGATATCTACATCAATAATAAAAAAGTGAGAAAATTCGATAATAATTTAAAGTCGTCACGTTCGGCAGGAAATGTTGAGTTTCCCTACTGTGTTTCTGACATGAAAATCAGATTTTAATTTTTTTATATAAAGATTCTTGTCCACTATTCAGAAATGAACTTAAAATTTGTATTTCTGTATGGATGGAGCTATCCAGCACTGTTTTACTGTTATCCAAAAAAGGATATTTTCCAAAACAAAAATCTGTTATAATATCAGCTATGAAATAGCTAATAAAGGCGAAGTTGGTAAATGCAACAGCAGTTAAGACAGACTTACCTTTCTAGCATAAGTTAGAATAAAATTTTTCATACATATATAAAGCGGGCAAAATAGCCGAGAGGCTGGAATTGCGTACTAATATTCGGCAGGTCAGTGTTGGAGTCCTGGTCCGATCAACTCTCAAAAGTTATAGACAATTATTTAAATATAAAATGCTTATTTTTCCAATTGAGTTCCCCCTTCGACAGTTATTGTCAGGCCATCCGAGTGTGTTTCTGACATGAAAAACAAAAGCAACTCATAAAAACCCGTCAACCGTTCGGAGGTGGCTTACTATAATATACTACTACTATAGGTCCCTCAATTTGTTGAAACGCACATTACAAATTAAACGTAGAGCTCGACCGTAATATATATCTATATATGCTATATTTAAAATTTTTGTTTAATATACAATTTTCAGATAAACATTTACATTTCCTTTTATAAAATTTTTGGTTTATTTATTCATATCTATCTATTCAATAATGCTAGTATTTTAAATTCTTTTCAACATTTTAGCCGACTGTGACTTTAAATAAATATAGTGTCTAATTAAAACTTTATCTTTATAAAGGGTGATTTTTTAAGAGCACGAAATCTTTATTTGAATCGATAGTTCGGTCAATCTAATTTAATTTTTGAAGATTATATCATGCAAATGTTGACCGTCTCTACATTTCGGCCGGTATCTCAAGAATAAATGCTGCAATGTTGTCCTCCAATGCGTCAATTGAAGTGGGCTTGTCTGTATAGACATTAGATTTAACATAGCCCCACAAAAAAGAGTCTAAAGGCGTTAAATCCCGAAAGTGAAATAAAATTTTCACCGACCTCACATCTCAATAAGTCAATTGTTACGCGTGCTGTGTGGCATGTGGTACCGTCTTGTTGAAACCACAGGTCATGCAAGTCAAGCTCTTGCATTTTGGGCAAAAAAAGTTTGATGTCATCTCACGGTAGCGCTGAACGAAATTTTTTTCTTAGAAAATTTATCTACCGAAACCTGCTTCAACGTTTACAAAAGACATTAAGATGTTGAGACATAATATTTATATTTCTCACCAAATGCCATTGCTTATTCCCAGGCTTTCCGCAGTCGTTTAGCTATAGTAGAATGATCACTTTCCTCTTTACTCAAACTATTAACTATACTAGCAAAGTATATTTATAAATAAAGAAAAAATACCGAGCTTTTATGAATATGGAATATGCTATTCAGACATGCAAAAAATTTCCAAATTCAGTTTATTTATTAAATAAAGTTGAGTTAAGTTCGGGCTTATGAGTGAATTTCAAAAGGAAAACAGTATCCTATTGTGTTTGGTGTTTAATCCCGTCCAGGAGCAGGCGAAATTGGTTGTCTAGGTTTTCTAACGGAAGGTCCAGACCTTTTCGACGTATTTGGCGCAGAGGGTTGTTAGATGAGTTGGGATTCCGGACATCAAAAGAGGTGGTCGTGGTCGTGGTCGTGGTCGTCAACTCTGGACAAGTAGGAGGTGATACTGATGCTGTAGTAATCCAGACGATAACTGTGTCAGTATTACTCAGGCCTCACTAGGCAGCTCTAAATCATTGTCTGCTATCGGTGATGGCTGGATTTTAAGCATGCTATTAACGGGAGTAGAGTTGTTGATGCATTGTTGTTGTTGTCACCGCAAAAATATTCCCCAAGATAGTTCTTGGCCTGAAAAAAATACGTGTGGTTCCGGTATAAAGACTCGAGTGACACGGGAACTTTCAGTTCTGTAGCGTTGAATAGAGTACTTTAAGTTGAGTCTTTCATTCCTGTTGTTGTTCTAGTTCTGTGTTAACCCCGCTTAGGAACAGGTTTAAAATCAATCTTAAGTCGACGAGGTCATCTTACGGGAGGTCCAGGAAACGTGCTGTTTCGACGGAATCGAACCAGAGGGAGAGAGGGTTAGATTTGTCGGCTTAAGTGGGCATGTGAGGAGGTGGTCAGTGTCGGGCGGAGATAGGTGGGAGTTTAACCTGCTACAGTATCATGGACTAAGTTGTGCCTGTGTAACGCGGCTGCATTCCTGATGAGCTTGGGTGTTGGTTCTGCTTCTGCTTCTGATAGATGTCTGCGGAGGGCCGCTAAAATGCTAGCTGATATTGTTTTTTGAGAACATATGTAGATGTAAGCTTCGAGGCTTTTGTGAAATCACTTAAAACCAAGTATTTACATACGTGTATGTGGGCGTTTTCATGTGTATCCGATTTCTTCTAATAAACAGTTTGCATGCACTTAAAACACATACTAATATTCAAAATTCATTGACAATAATATGTTATCTAGAAAGTATATGTATATTATTTTATATGTAGTTTATTGAGATCTCTTTATTTATAGTTTCTAAAAAAAAAAAAAAAAAAAACATTTCTAATATGAACCTTGTTATTTTTTTATTTTCTTCTATTCCTTTGCAATATCCAATTCAATTTATGGTAATGGTTTTTTGTGTGCGTCTGTATCGTCTTAACACAAAAACAAATCCATCCATTCATCAAAACAACCATCGATCAACTAAAATCTTCATAACGGTACACATTTGCTTACTGTGTAAAACCAAAAAATTATCATCGCTCTTGCCGTTTTTTAAATGCTGATCGCTTGCTAATAACCAACAATATGCTTATTAAAAACGCCTTGAAACCTGCTGTGTCCATTGTCTACTCAAATGCTTAACTACACTCATTTGTGTTCTCACTCATGACATATACAAATACACACATGCACATATCTACCCGCACAACAACTGCTGTTTAATACCATATTCTACGCTCGTTAATACTACATTAAACATAAAAATATCGAACTAAATATTAAATAAACGAAATGAAATGCCTCAAACGCGTATCTACGAATCGCCTTAATAATCCAACTTTATTGCTTTATGGTTGGTTAATTTTAATAACGGTTTTCGAACGGCTGTGGGACATGCGCAAAATCATTATCAATCATAAAATATAATAACATATATCAATATTGTTGAAATCCATATTTGGTTTTTGTAAATACTAAAGTCTAAAGGATTATGGTGTTGCCTCAAACAGATACACCTTTTGCCAGAAATGCTTCAACGACATACAAGGAGACACCGTTACTCTGGGTGATGATCCACAACAGTCTCAAACGTAAGTAAATATAAAAAGAAAAAGATGTTTCGATCACAAAGTTATTAAATGCTTCTTCATTCTAATTAAATTACCATTTGATTTCTTTTATATTTTGTGCAAACTTCAGTCAAATTCGTAAAGATCAATTCAGAGAGATGAAAAATGATCATTTGGAGCTCGAACCGTTTGTTGATTGTCAGGAATGCGGTCGCAAGCAACATCAGATATGTGTACTGTGGCTAGATACAATTTGGCCCGGCGGCTTTGTGTGTGATAACTGTTTGAAGAAAAAGAATTCTAAACGGAAGGAGAACAAATTTAATGCAAAACGTTTGCCTACCACAAAACTGGGAATATACATTGAGACACGTGTTAATAACTTTTTGAAGAAAAAAGAAGCCGGTGCCGGTGAAGTGCATATTCGTGTTGTATCATCTTCAGATAAATGTGTAGAAGTGAAACCAGGTATGCGACGACGATTTGTTGATAACGGTGAAATGTCTTCGGAATTTCCGTACCGAGCGAAAGCACTATTCGCCTTTGAGGAAGTGGATGGTGTTGACGTATGCTTCTTTGGCATGCATGTACAAGAATATGGCTCTGAGTGTCCGCAACCGAATACGCGGCGTGTCTACATTGCTTATTTGGATTCCGTGCATTTCTTTAAACCACGTCAGTATCGTACCGCTGTGTATCACGAAATTCTGCTGGGTTATATGGACTATGTTAAACAATTAGGGTACACCATGGCTCACATTTGGGCATGTCCACCTTCTGAGGGTGATGATTACATATTCCATTGCCATCCGACAGATCAAAAAATACCAAAACCAAAACGATTACAAGAATGGTACAAAAAGATGTTGGATAAAGGCATGATTGAGCGTACCATACAGGATTACAAAGACATATTGAAGCAAGCTATGGAAGACAAATTAACTTCTGCTGCAGAATTGCCTTATTTTGAAGGTGATTTTTGGCCCAATGTACTGGAAGAAAGCATTAAGGAATTGGACCAGGAGGAAGAGGAAAAACGTAAACAGGCAGAAGCAGCAGAAGCCGCAGCAGCCGCAAATGTAAGGCTTTTTGGTGTTGCACAATTGTCATTGTATAATGTAATATTAACAATATCTCTATTTATATCTCTAATCATAGATATTCTCGATTGAGGATAATGAAGTAAGCGGCGACGGAAAGAAAAAGGGCCAGAAAAAGGCAAAAAAATCAAATAAATCTAAAGCTGCACAGCGTAAAAATAACAAGAAAAGTAATGAGCAACAAACAGGCAATGACCTATCTGCCAAGATTTACGCCACTATGGAAAAACACAAAGAGGTGTTCTTTGTGATACGCTTGCATTCGGCGCAATCAGCTGCAAGCTTAGCGGTAAGTGTATTCATAACTAATATCTATTTCAATTTCTTTCGTTCCGTTGTAATATAGTACCTATGAACGACAAACACGCAAGTAAGGCTTATGAAAATATTTTGCCAAAATATTTATGGTGACCATGATTTTTCCTTTTATTAAATAAGTAATTTTGAAAACCTCGAAAAAAATTTACATCGAGTGATGATGAAGAACCAATTTGGGAAACCATACATGAGGTTTTTATTGTTGTAGCCACAAAAATATTACCTAACGTTGTGACGTGACAGTCCTTGACCAGATAAAATGGGGCGTAATTATTGTTCGCGATAATATAGAAGTCGGTTGTAAAAGAAATGTACTTTTACAGGCCTCTTCTGTCGAGGTAACAAAATTTACTTTGGTATTAAAATTTACCTTTCAGTAAATTTTGTTACTATTTCGTATTCTAAGTTCACCGTCACCCTGTAAATTTTGTAACCAACAAAATAGGAGGTAACAAACAATCATCTGTTCGATTTTGTGCTGGTAGTCTGTGAAAAAAATAAAAAAACCAAAACGGGTAGGCATATTTTAGGCCTGGAATTCATTTAAAATGAAGAAAAGAGTACAAAAGGTTGCTTGTTAAGGAGTTTGCGACAAAAAATTACCCTTTTATTTCGGAAAGTAGCGTTTTCATTCAGCTTTTTTTTTTTGTCGCTTAGGCATATTTTCCAAAATTAGGTTCAAATATTTATAACTTAATAAACACATAAATAAAATTTAATTATTTTGAAGTGCACCGTCTTCCATTTCGATCTGAATATTATTCTTTTTTACCATGTCAACTTGCAAATGTAATTTGATAAAGACGAAAAACGCAGTGCTGCCAAATTTTCTTCGTCAGAATAGCAAATTCAATTGCGGATGTTAAAAAAAGTAACAAAATTTACCTTACCGGTAACAGTAAGAATAGGGCTGTTACTCTTAAGAGCATCGTTCCTAAGTATTTTGCCACTACTGTAAATATTATATGCATAATGCATCGATTTGATTACCTTATCAATGCACTTCGAACTTCAGCTTTTCATAATTCCGTTTCATTATTTCTAGCCAATACAAGATCCAGATCCACTTTTAGCCTGTGATTTAATGGATGGTCGTGATGCGTTCCTTACGTTGGCGAGAGATAAACATTTCGAATTTTCATCACTTCGCCGCGCACAATTTTCTACCCTCTGCATGTTGTATGAACTGCACAACCAGGGACAAGACAAGTTTGTTTACACTTGCAACAACTGTAAAACTGCGGTCGAAACGCGATACCATTGTACTGTTTGTGATGTAAGTACATACATATTTACAAATATAATATTTATGTCTACACATATTTCCATAAAAAATCTCATAACAATGCTTATGTAAAATTCTTTGCTTTACCTACTAATTTTTGTATATAGGACTTCGATCTCTGTTCGGTGTGCAAGGAGAAAGTTGGTCATCCACATAAAATGGAGAAACTTGGACTCGACATTGATGATGGTTCATCACCAGCTGATCTCAAGCAAGCTAATCCTCAAGAAGCTCGCAAACAATCCATACAGCGCTGCATACAGTCACTGGTGCATGCTTGCCAGTGTCGAGATGCAAATTGTCGTCTTCCATCGTGTCAGAAGATGAAACGTGTCGTACAGCACACGAAAAACTGCAAACGAAAGACCAATGGCGGATGTCCAATTTGCAAGCAGCTTATTGCGCTTTGCTGCTACCATGCTAAACACTGCCAGGAGCAGAAATGTCCAGTACCCTTCTGTCCAAATATCAAGCATAAGCTCAAACAGCAACAATTACAACAAAAGTAAGCATAGTTAATTTAGTATAACTATTGTTCTGACGCTTTTTTACTTCAATTATTTGTGCGTTTTCACTTACAGATTACAACAGCAGCAACTTCTACGTCGTCGTATGGCACTTATGACTCGAACCGTTACAACACCGGCAGCTTTGGCCGGTGGACCTGTGGTTGGAACTGGTCCAGTTGTAGGGCCAGGAGGTGTTGTCGGACCTGGTGGCGTTGGCGTTGGCGTTGGAGTAGGAGTACCAGGAGTGGGAGTGGCTCAGCCAACCATGCCTGGGCAACCTGCTCTAATGTCAGTTACTGCAGCGGGTGGTATGAGCCCCTCTACTGTAGCTGTACCTTCTCCAGTTTCGGCGCCGATGGGTGGCGGAATGACTTCACCACACCCTCATCAACCTGGTATCGGAATGAAGCCAGGCGGAGGACATTCGCCTTCGCCGACGGTGCTGCAAGTTGTTAAGCAGGTAAGCTTATGCGAAAAATAACAATACTTCATCATTTGTATATCACACGAAAATTTTTATCGTAAACAATTAGCTCTGCTTGTATAGTCTTGTAATAACACTGTACTTCTCCCCTACTGCTTAACAGGTACAGGAGGAAGCCGCTCGGCAGCAAGGTGGTCCTATGCCTCCACCTGTAATTCAACGACATATTGGTGGAATGCCTAACCAAGGCAATCCAGGCGGTGGTATGATTGGAAGTAATGTTGGAAATGTGGGTGTTGGTGTTGGTGTTGGTGGTGTTGGTGTGAATCAAATGGGACCTAGTGGCGTAAATACCGTCATGGGTAATAATATGCCTATGGATCAGTGGAATAGCGGTAATCGTTATCAAGGTAACGCCAACCAGGGTATGCGTCAACCCAACCAAACACAAGTGCAAATGCAGCAAAACACGATGCAATCGGTAAATAAAACGATAAACTAAAAAATCGCATTGATAATTTGATATTTTCCAACAATTATGTATTTTCAACTTTAGAATATGATGAGTATGGTGGGTGCTGGTGGTTCAACTCAAATGCTTGGTGGTCCTGTTGGCAATATGGGTGCTGGCAATGCTGGTGGTGGTATAACAGGCAATGCTGGTATCAGTGGAATGAATAGCCCTGGTGGTGGCATGGGTGGTATGGTCGCTGGCGGCCAGGTGGGTGTACCCGGAGGTAATATTCGACCGCAAGGTGGTCAGCATGGTGGTGCTGTGGGCAGTGGACAAACCTTGAACGAAGCTCAGCTTGCACTTATTATGCAGAAGATCAAAAATAATCCATCGCATGACAACCAACAGATATTACAAGTTCTAAAGCGTAACCCCCAAATAATGGCTGCCATAATCAAACAAAGATCACAAAGCCAGCCTAGTGCCAGCGGTAGCAGTGGAGTTGCGACGACTGTAAATGGGCCGCAGCAACAGCAACAACAGCAGCAGCAGCAACAACAAGTAATGCAACAAAATCAGCAGCTGCAGCATATGATGAGTCAACAACAGCAAATGCCCCAAGCTAATCAACAGCAAGTGGTGATGCAGCCACAACAACCGGGTCCTCCACATCAACGTATGCCAGGCATGCAAAACCCAATGATGATGCAACAACAACAGCAAGTACCTGGTGGTATGCAACAGCAACAGGTAAATCAATTGGTAATCGCTAAAAATTTACCTCAATTCTAAATCGACGTAACGTGTTTTTGTTTCTTCGGCAGATACCGAATGTACAATGGTTCAAGGCGCGTCAAATGCCAATGCCCAACTACCCGCCACCATATCCTCAAAGACAACGTGCACCACCATTAATGGGTGGCGGTGGAGGACAACAATACGGTGGTGGTAACTTTGGACCTGGAGGGCCGGGAGACCAATATACAGCAGCTGCTGCTATGCAACAAGGCCTGAAGCCACCAACACCGCAACAACAAATGGGTGGTATGCCGGGCGCTGTGGGACAGCAACAACAACAGCAACAGCAAATGATGCAAGGAGGTAACGTGGTTGGTGGTCCTGGTGTAGGTATGGTTGGTGGTCCTAATGTAATGGGCCCACCGACACCCCACACGTTGCAACAACAATTAATGCAAACGACTGCGCGCGCTTCACCGCCAATACGTTCACCACAACCAACACCGTCACCACGTTCAGCGCCATCACCTCGAGGAGGAGGCCCATCAGCATCGCCACGAGCACAACCGTCGCCACATCATGTAATGAGCCATTCGCCAGCTCCAGGCCCACCACACGACGGTGGGCTACATAACCATGTTGGCGGTATGCATGCACCGCATCAATCACCATTGCCAGGTGGTGTTTCACAGGATGTAGGTGTTGGTGGTGTTGTTGGTGGCGGAGTTGTTGGCGGTGCGGGTCCTAGCCAAGCTGTTGCCGATGCATCCGACCAGTTGACCAAGTTTGTGGAACAACTCTAGTGCAGCAATTAACAGCTACAAACATCTCCAAGCCCGTTCACCAGCAATAGCAACAAGATGTATCCGCGTTATTACTGAGATATAACGTAATTGTGCAAATGTACAGGTTTTTTTTTTTTTTGATCATATTTATTATTTCCAACTTAGTTAAATTTTTTAATTTATATATGTTTAGTTTTTGTGAAAACAAATCTATTTCCAAAAATTAGAATTAGTATTTAATTGTTTCTTTGAATTATACCTATAGTTATGAATAGTGTGTAGTTTTTTTTTATAAAGTTATCATCATACGTTCCATTGCGACCTTGTCACTCTTTACATTCAAGAATGAATAACTGCTTGCTGAGCGATGCTTTAGTAGATGCATACACGTAGTACTCAAGATAGACAAAATCGATCAAAGAATCAGTATAAGATGATGTCACCAGTAAGGTAGGAGACATATGAAATCCTATGTTTGACAAACAATTAATACATGCACTGTATTTATATAAGGTGATTTTTTAAGGTTTTGACGAGATTTTCCAACTGTTCAGCTGTTATTACACAAAAAATTAAAGTGAAAGTTTAAGAATAAAATTATGATTTCCGATACCGCCTTCAAAATACTATTTTGTAATAATTGAAGCTAATAATTGATTAATATTTCGAAGTTAATCGCATTGAATCGGAATTAAAGAATTATAGAAGTTTTCGTTTAATTGTTTATTCTTATTATAAAGTAATAATGAATACACTTCGCAACATGCACATGCACATATTTATAATAATCAATTTTATGCATATTATAAAAATTTTACTATAGATCATAGTTGTATGTAAAGTTAATATAAGACGAAAAAGTTTATTTTTATCACTTTGATAATGGTAAATTAATAAATCTTAAAATCAAAACAAAACACTTTGTATGAAGAGGAATTCAAATCAAATATCAAATGCATTGTAAATATGTACTATATTTTCCAGAACTAATATATTATATTATAAAATCTCAAATTAGTAAAATATTAAAAAATAGTTTGCCAACAAATTGCTATGTTTATAACTTCAGAAATTAATATTTTTTACCATTCAGCAAATTAGTGGTTGTTTACACAGCGCGTAAACAAACAAACATACTCTCAGAAAATGAGCTAGCCAGTTAAAAAGTGTTCAACCCAGGCAAATTGTAACTATTATTCAACAACTTCTTCGTGTGTGCGCAGCAAGAAAACCATTTTTGCAATAGTAAAAAATATATTATAATCGGTAGTATGTAAATTTCTTACCACTCTCATTTTTTCTATTTAATGTTCATTTGGCTAACAATTTTTTTTCCGACAATTAGTAACAATATTAAATGTGCCTTTTCAGTATTTATACTTTTTTTTTTGTAATAATCCAGTCTGTATTTCGATAATTATTTTTAATTTTAAAAATCTTACTCTTACGAAAACAAAAGAAGGCGAACGAAACAAACAATACAAAAAACACAGCTCTAGAGATCTGAAATATTAACTTCCAACCATTTTCAACAGTGATTTGTTTGCGAATAAAATTTTCTAAATCAGATTTTGATGAAAATGCTTAATAATGAAATTACACAGTTAAAGTTGTTGAAGAAATGACATTTTCTTTGCATAATAGTGCGAAAACAAAATGTGTAATTTGTCTGTGAAAAAGGCACACGAATCAATAAACACAGCAACAGAACAGCTCGTATTATCAGCATACAATAATAATAATTTTACCCTAACCATAAAATATATTAAAAAAACAAAAGAAATTTATGTAACTTTTGAATTTCTTCAATCAATTAAGTAAGATTATTTCATAACTACATTATAATTTCTAGTGCACGCAAGTTTAATTATACTTTGTGATAGCTTTTTTATGATAATCATATTTTTTTTTAGACAAAATGTCACTTAAATTATCTCTTGGCACTTGGTATATACCGTTACAACCAAAAGATAGCATTTTCAGCAGTAGCTTATGTAAGTTCACATTTAATTTAGTTTTTAAATCATCAACACAGTCACACACATACACACACACACATCGTTGCACATGCAAATGTTTTGTATTTATTACTATGGCTATGAAAATGACATACATGTGCTTACAACCCTTTAAATTCACAACATTACTGATTTGACGAAGGAAGTTCTTTAACGGCATTTGATAATTACAATTAAAAACCGCCAAATGTAATTTCAATCACGCTGGTAAATAATTTCCTTTACTATTAATAATAATTATTATGTTTTCTTTTTTGTTTTGCTTTTGCAAATGTGTAAAAATTATAGAATTATATAGAATGAAGCGTTCATCGCCACATGCGTATTGCGTTTGCCTTCAACAAAAAAAAAAAAAAATATTTTACAAAAAACAAAAATCATACGGAATAGTTGAATGTATAATTAAATAATTTTACCACATATATTTTCTTGAGATGCACATTTTTTGCTTGAATATGTTTGAAACAACCGACCTCCTCCTGCCCGCCTGCCAAATATTCATAGCAAAATATGTGCAGTCTTTGGGAATATTCTCATTAATAAATGTAAACAGTAAGTTATAAAGAAATGCATAACTAAGATGTAGATAAAAAAATATAACCTAAAAGCATAACAATAAGTTACATTGCATAAAATCTTAACATCATACTATTATATAAAGCGTAATGTATATTACTGAAAGTTGTAATATTCGTAAATGTATATACTATACATACATATGTAGGTACTATAGAAATTGCATAAATGTTAAGCATCAGTGGTTAAGTTACTTGTAAGCGTATTGAAAAATAAAATAAAAGCACGGAATAATTATTTACAAAAAAAAGTCGTTTTAAGCATTAATTCCAATCTTTTTTTGTGATTTGCATATACATATAATACATTACATATGTATGTATGTGCATGTATGTATACGTTTTCTATATGTGTAAATAGTAGTAAGTAAACAGAGTTAAAAATGAAGTTTTAGGTAAACGGCGGCATAATAATCTAACATTAAATACATGGAAATGTTATTTCCATTCAAAAGTAAGTAGTTTAAAAAGTCTTAGTATGTCTTAACGAAAATTATACAATGTCGAAAAAGTTCAGATGACAGCTTCCTATCCAGTTTTAATTATAATTTAAAATTTCCTTAAACTTTTGTTAAAAACCACAAAGTATAAAAAACAAAAACTATTTTAGATTTTAATCTATATATTATTATATAAATATATTACTATTAAAAAGGTTTGCATATTCTAGTTAGCAGCTTAATGCTAAAACAGAAAATGAGCTGAAGAAATACACATATTTATCTTTAAATTTATTAAATTATATTCAACAGATTTTTTAACAAGAGAATATCAAAAAATTTAAAATAAAATTAACTGATTTAAAGGTATAGACACAAGAAAACAAGAAACATTCATTTTATGTATATAAATATACGTGTATATGTGTATGTAATACAACGGATTAAACATGTTCATTAGTTCTAATAGTACACAAATGAAAACAAAAATTTACTATCTAATAAATATGAAAAGCGTCTAAAAATTGATTTGCGCGTGCAACGTACTACGCGCCGTCTTCAATTTGTAATATCGATAATAATATACTCGTACGTGTATGTAAAATTTTATAGAGCAATGCTAAGTAATAAATATCAGCGTCAAAAATTAAATGATGAATGTGCCTGCAAAGCACAATATAAAAAAATCCTTAAAGAAGTGATACAATCGTATGTTTAAATGCATAAAATGAAAGCAAAACAAAAAAAAAAAATAAACAGAAAATTACAATGTGAATACTAGATTTTTAGGTTACACAGCGGTTTGATAGGAATTAAAAACTAGTTACTATACATATGCATGTAGATGTAAAAAAAAGGAAAAAAAATTCAAAACGGTTTTGTAAATAAAACATTTTCCAATTTTTTCTTTTGGCGAATATAATAAGTTTTATTTTGCAATTTTAATCCCATAAATGTATACATACACATGTATATGCAATTGAAGCTTGTCATGCGCCAGCACAGAAAGAAGCAAATACAATATTTTTTAGATTTGTTATTAAAAAAAAAAAAACGTATTTATAAATGCATATATAATCATTTCATTTATTATGAAAGTCATTTATGTTTAAATAAATTGTAGTGGGTGTAATTGAATGTTAAAAAAAAGAATAAATATAAAGAATAAAACAATATTCATATGTATATATTTGGATTAGCGTAAAGAGTAAATGAAGAGTATAAACACGTCTGAGATGAATATGATCTAACAAAAAGCAGCACTTAGGTTTGCAAATGTTGTTCTAAGCTTTTAGTTCCATTTGTCACTCAATAAACATTTGCAAATTGATTAAGCTTAACCATTAAGTCCTAGTGTAATATGTATAACAATAAACTAAAACGTAATTTAATATTAATATTAAATATAAAAAAAAGTATCGATATGTAACAAATACTTAACAGAGTATAAATATAAATAAATCATATACAAATTTGTAGATGAAAGTAATGAAGGCGCTCTCGTCTGTCGCATAAAAATTAATACAGCATTATTTGTATAGTATAAATAATTATAATTATATACACAATAAAGTAATATTGAATATAAGAAATTATATACAAGATTTGAAATGCGTATATACATACATATACATAAAGATAAATTGAATAAAAAATATTAAAATAGCAAAAACAAAATAGTTTTCTTATACTAAAAACAATTTCTCATAATTAAATTTTTATATTTTAGGAGAAAAGCTGATTTTTTGATTAAAGAAAATTTTTTGTTTAAAGAAAATTTCTCCATTGAATGATGCTTTGCAGTTATCAAGGGTACATTTGTTTATGTTTACATATGTCTTTTTCAAACGGAAATCTTGCATTCTCGCCGAGATATGCAATATCCTGCGGTGGGCCGAAAAAAGTAGTCCCCATTTTGCTGTCATGTTATCTGCCTTCAAGGTATGCCCCAGAAATGAAATCAGGCGAAAAAGGCGTTAAAGAGGATTGAATGGACTATAATAAAGCACATCGTCTTCGAAAAAAATTTAAAATTTAGCTTCAAAATCGTATGGTATTTTCCATGTAAAATTTACATTTTTAATAGGTTCGAAATATACGAGGGTCACTGGCCTGATATAAAGCTGAATACGATTGAAAAGTTCAAGTCGATAGGATGATTAGTTTTTTGGATTACATACAATGACAATTAATTTCAGAAAACGCTGCCTCGAGAAAAATGCGCTTAGAAAACTTATATAATCGATCTTACGCGTTTAAGGATTACTCCGAAACTATTACAGTTACACATCTGGGGTCGAAGTATGTTTTTTTTTCGAAGATATGAGCTATCGAATAATGCAAAAAGAAAAAATCGACTTTTTGAAAGTATCCCCCCCCCCTTCAAATTCGTCTTTACAAGAAAGTGAGCCACATTATCGTT